CAACTGAAAAAAAGAAAAAATGGATAACATAAAAAAGAAGTCGGAAAGAAAGTTCTTGTCATTTTTTGTTTTGTAAAGAAAGTACTTGCCATTTTATGTTTTGTAACGAAAGTTTTCGCTATTTTAAGTGCTGTCAAAAAATTTATTGCCATTTTAACGAAAAATAGAAAGTGTAGCCTTGTGCAGGCTGCGGGTGACAAGTTATACGAGGCAGTTCATTTTCAAGCTTTGTAAAGAAATTTCTTGCCATTTCAATGCAAACACATATACTTTGGGGTTCCGCAGCCTGCGGTTGACAAGTTATACAATGGATTTCAATTGTTTACTTTGTAAAGAAAGTTCTTGCCATTTTTAAATTCGTAAAGAAAGTTTATGCTATTTTTTGTTTTGTAAAGAAAGTTCTTGCCATTTCACCCCCTAAACCCCAATAAAATCAAATTTCTAATTAAAAGCCTCCGGCGGTTTTTTAGGCGACAAAAAATCGACTGATAAATCAGTCAGCTGGCTCTTCCCACAAAAGCAGGTCGAGACAAAACTTTTGTTTTATGCAAAAAAAACATAAAAAGCCAGACAGAGCGTTTCGAAACGTTTCAATCTCGATTTGACTCGTGTTCAAGACCGAGCTGTATACTTGTACACATAATCGTATATGCATTAACAAAAGGCTCATAAAACGCAATAATTTTGTTTACAGAAGTTGAAATGGCAAGAACTTTCTTTATAAAAGACGAAATAGCAAAAAATTTCTTTACAAACCAAAAATGAAAGGAACTTTCTTTACAAAACATGTAGTGGCAAGAACTTTGTTTACAACTTGTTTTTTCATTATCACAAAAATTTCAAACTCCTTGTCCCCCCCCCAAAATAAACAGCTTGAATCGTAGAACTTAAAAACCTCTCTGTATATTAACATCATCTTGTAAGAGATTCAGACAGTACTCTACCCCCCCCCCTTCCGTTCTTCATCGTGACGTTTTTTTATGGTGTCGCCAAACAAAAAGCTCCCCAAAAGTGCAAAGAATATTTTTTTTCAAAACTTTCTCGACTTTTTCAGCTGTCGGCGGAATGACCTTTTAGACAAACAATCACCGCGCACCGCAAAAAAGTCTAGATTTCGAGAGAATCCCAACATAAACCGTCTTTAAACTGTAGGTATTGAAGTAAACACTTTTATATACCTAATAAAACCCTGGCTATACCGGGTAAAGCTCCGTACACCTACCAGAAGCCTTGATTTACCTAGTAAAAGTCTTACTATACCTAGTAAAAGCCTCACTATACCTAGTAAAAGCTTCACTATACCTATTAGGACATTTACTTTGCCTAGTAAAAGCCTCACTACATCTAGCAGGCGCCTGTGGAAGCATCTATACATATTCAAAGCCTCTGTATGCCTAGATATAGGTGCCGACATAAAGAACCCGCCACTTTTTATCGAAAATTATAGGAAAAGTATGGCGGGTACTTTATGTCGGCACCTAATAACAGCATAACTACACTTAGTTGGAATCTTACGGTACCTACAAAAATCCTTACTATACTTAATAAAAACCTTACCCTACATATTAGGAGCCTCCATAAGCCTAAAAGACCTTACATTTCCTATCCTACCCTACTCTACCCTAACGTACCCTAGTCGCCTCGCTATACCTAACGAAAGCCTCCGTGCACCTAGCAGAAGACTTTTATACCTAGAAGAACTCTCTTTACACCTATATCACCCTCTAATAGAAAAACCCTTTCATTTACCTTAAAACAATTTTCAAGCCTATACCAATCTTATTTGGTCTAATATTAATGATAACAACTCCAAAGAACACTTAGAAAATCCACAATTTTACCACGAAAACCGTTCCCGGACGTGGGCTATAGTTATTGATCGAGTTGTGCCGATGAAAATCGTCGGCGGAAGAGAGAGAAAAGAAGTCTGATTTCCACGCAAAACAAACCAGAGGAGGGGATACGCCCTTTCCGACGGTCAGCTGCAAAAAAAAACAACAAATGGAGCGGTAACGTTGTATTACCATGAGTTATATATTAGTTGTTACACTAGTTATAGAGAATATAGTCTGGGGTGTAATAGAGGGTAGAGTAGGGTAGAGTAATGGTAAGTGAGGGTAGGATAAAGTGGGTATTTCAAAGCAAGGTAGAGCAGAGCAAAGGTAGAGAAGGGTAGGGTAAGATAAGGTAAGATAAAGTAGGATAAGGCAAAGTAAGTTAGAGTAGGGCAGAGTAAAACATATTACGAAGGGGGTAGAGTAAAGTACGGTAGGGTAGGGTAAAGTAGCCTACTTCTGTATTGTACCCTACTCTACTTACCATACCCACCTTCCCTACCGTAGCCTACTTTACCGTACCCTACACTAACCTACCATGCCCTATATCACCCCTTCCTATCCTACCTCACCCACCCCTTCTTATCTTCTTGTAGTGTCCACTTTACCTTGCCCTTCCCTACCCCATCCTTCTCTGTTTTACGATAAATACCCCCCCCCACCCTACCCTCCCCTAACCTACCCCTAACCTACTCCACTCTACTCTGTACTACCAACTTACCTTCCCCTAGCCCACTCTTTACCACTAGACAAGAGAAACGGGCCGGGCCTAACATTCAGCCCAGCCCGTTCCTCATTTCTATTCTCCATCCAACCTTACTATTCACATTAAAATCAGATGAACATCACTTCCGCCACACCTTTTGTTGTAACAATATGCATAAGACAGTGTAAAACCGATTGTACTTTAGGCTTCTAATTTGTCTTATCAAACATCAATTTGAATTTGATTTTTGACAATAAAAACAAAAATTTTAAAATATTTTTAAATTTAAAATATTTTTAAAAAATGGGTTTAGAAAGCTTTAAAAAGTCGAAAAAAATTGGAGAAGGAAACGCGCGATAAACGTGGAAATGGACGTGAAATGGCCGAACTGCAAACAAAATTCAAGAAAAACGCGTTTGACAAAACTAAATTCCAGTACTTGAATAGAATTCCAAGGTTCATATTGCAAGAACTTTCTTTACAAAACAAAAAATTGCAAAAACTATCAAAAGTTAAAACTTTTCCAAGAAATGTTAAACTTTGTCATCTGTTTACAATGTTTGACCCTTTGGCTTTTGTGACCGTTCATCACTCACTTCTTTTTGCAATTTCTCAATTTAAGCCCCCCTTTTTCCATAAAAAAACTTGTTTTTGTTCGATTTATCAAAATGCAACATCAACATTCGCCCAAACATACGATCAACGTGATAAACACGCCTTTTGCTACTGATTTCAGCAAAAAATAGCAGGAAATTTGGTTACAAAAGATGAACTGGCAAGAACTTTGTTTTAGAACACAAAATGGCAAGAACATTCTTTACAAATGCTTAACTGGCAAGAACTTTCTTTAATGAAGCTTGAATGGCAGGAACCTTCTTTAAAAAACATAAAATCGCAAGAACTTTTTTTAGAGAAGTTCAACTGGCAAAAACTAGTTTACAAACTGTAAATTTTGAAAATTACAAACAAAACTAACCAAAAAATATTATAATTTAGGAACTGATGACCTTTTGGTTGCGCGACTTTAAAAAAGAAGCCCAACTCTCGAGTAACGATAAGGATCAGCTAGCCGTTTAATGGCGCTCAGCCATGGCATCTTAATCACAAATATTATAAATCAAGTGCTTTTGGGGTGCAAATGTCTTAGGTTATGCATTTATTTTATTTAGATGTCACTTTTCCTATAACAAAATTATCGAAGCCAAGTTTTAAAATTTTGAAACTGATGTCATGGGTAATATCATAATTCAAAGCAAATTCAACTCTATGTTACAAAACTGTTGGAAATCACAAACAAGGTAACAACAAGCACAATATTACCTAAAAGCATTCAAAAATAAATCAAAAACCTATCAAAACACACACTTCAAAAACCTGATACATGGTGTCATGGATAATATCATAACCTGATCCAAACACTATTTATAAACGCGAACTCTTCGCAAACCATCCAAAACACTATAAACTTCGTGTTCCTTCAAAAAACTGTAAAAACTTTGACCAATTTCCATTAAAACACTAAATAGTCAAAATTCATATACTTGGTGTCATGGATAACATCAGAACTCAGCTCGATAACAAAAAGAAGCCGCAAATCTTACGCGAAACATAAAACAATAAATAGTGTATCTAAAAAAATCAAAAACTTCATAATATATTATTATAAACTGTCATGTTTAAGTTTTATTCGTTAAGAGCACCAAACTTTAGTGTCATAGATAATATAAATCTAATTTCAGGTTATTAAAAAGATATAAATCAAGCCAAATGTAACAAAAACATAACCATAACTCTAGTAAATCATTCTCAATAAAATTCAAGTCAATATTGTAGCGCGTTACATTAATATAAGTCGAAGAAGATGTCACAAAGCTCAAGAATATCAAAAAAATATAACATTGCCCACCAATTTTATAAGTAAAAGCCAGAAGATAAGTATAAATACCTAAAAATTTTAAAAGTAAATTAAGATAAAGCACTGAAAAATGTTAAACAAAAACACAACATACTAAAGTCTAATAGTAATAAAGGTATATACAACATCAAAAACACAACAATTTTTCACTTTTTTATTATTTTTCGCCGAAATTGGGCGCAACCCGCTAATACCATTCCGCAGATTGCAGAAACAACTCTTTAAAATTTTTTTAAAAAGTTCTCGAGATTTAATAATTAAATTAGTATTTATTTATGTACATGATAACTTTTCTCATTAATCATAATAAAAATGACAGTTTTTTAATAAAAACTTTATAAAAATCATTGGTTTTTTATGTTAATATAAAACTTGCAAAGACATTGTGAAACAAATATGACTGAGTAATGGAATGTGTGATTGTTGGATGGTATAATATAAAATAATATGAAATCAATAAATCAAATTTGAAGCCAAAGTTAAGCTTAAAAGAGTAAGTTTTCAAACTTAAAACATAAGCCTAAAACGTAAGCCTAAAACAAGCCTAAACATCAGTAGGGCGGTCATCAAGTTGATAAATGGCCGAATGTCCATTTTTGTCAATTCCAATCATATTTTCGGTCGGATGAAATTGACAGCGTGCCATTTTCTCCGTATTTCGATACACCATATCGCTGTTGTAATCGGTCGGTAGTAAGCCAGCAGCTTGGCGGCATATGTAATCCTGAAAAAATTTTGATTTATAAAACGAGTCATGATGGCAAATATTTAAATTTTCATAAAATTTGTCATGTTGACAAAAAAATGATAAAAAGCGTCATAATGACAAAATATTCATAAAAATGTCATGATGACAAAAAAATCAAAAAAATTTTCATAATCTAAAAAAATCGCTAACAATTGCCATGATGACCAGAAAATCTATTAAAACTGTCAAAATGAAACAAAATTCTATAAAAAATGTGGTGATAACGTAAAATTTTGTTGTGGTAACTCACCGTATGAGGACACAACGAAAAATCTCTTTGGCTATTTTTGTAAAAGTCCTGAACATCTCGGATAAACACCAAACATTTGTATATTACTACGCCACTTCCTATTAGAATAACTAATATTGATGCTAACACTGAACATCTTACGAACGCATCTCGGGCTAGTACACTGTCTTCTGTAACATTAGATCATATTAAGTTAGGCTATGGCTCTGGGCTAGGGTTCTGGGTTATGGCTTTGGGCTAGGGCTCCGGACTAGCTAATAAACTTACGAACAGACTCAAAAAAGCTAGCAAAAGCAATGATTGACAAAGCGAAAAAAGCCAGAAATCCTCGTAGAATGATGCCAATGCTGAGGTACAACGCCAATAATACCGGTCGATTATATTTCACACCATGAAACAACAAATAACATATGATAAGCTGTACTACAGCTGCTGTTGTGATTACAAATGTCCATGTTGTACAACAATATATCATCATTCTGGCCGCTACATAGGCTAGTTGTGCTGTTAGGCCCATTAGATCTATGTATACCACTATGTAGGCTCCTGTCTGAAATTACTTTTCTAAATTTGAGGTGGGGGTAGGAAATAATTTAAGGGTGCGGTGGAGAATTTTTTGATTCGGGGTAAAAAATTAAGTCAAAAAAGAAAAAAAAATTTTTTTTAATTATAAAAAATTCTTTACGAAATAAAAATTTTATAATTTTTTTAAATTTTAAAAGTGCATTTAAAAGGTCGATCTATGGTTATCGACCCCGCCGAATTCGACGAAAACAATTAGCTAAAATCCGTCAAAAACACTCAAAATAAGGCCCAAATGGTACGTAAACCGTCTCGATTCGCCCCTACTTCATAGAACAAAACTCTTTCGAATTGCAAAAGTGGCAAAACACTTATTACCGTAAATGATTCTTACTGTAATTTCAAAAAAATAGTATAACACTTATTTAGCGCAGGGCAGAGTAGGGTAGGATAGGAAAAGTTATGGTAGGGAGTAAAATAAGAACTAGGATAAAGTAAGGGTAGAGTGAGTTAAGTCATGATAGGAAGTAAGACAGTATTGGATAGGTCATGATCAGGGCCGGGCGCGAGGGGGGAGGGGACGGGGGGGGGGTATCCCACCCCAGAAAAAAATTTTCGAAAAAATTTGAACTTGGTCCCCCCCCTGTGGATTTTTGGAAGAAAATTTCGCAAAAAATCGGCACACCACATGTGCCGATTTTTTGGACCCCTGCCCCCAGTCCAAAAGTCCCCGCCCGGCCCTGGTCATGATAGCAAATGTGTTAAGTTATAGTAGAAAGCAGGGTAATGCAAGGAAAGATAGGGTAGGTTATAGTAAGTAGCGTACGATTGACCATGGTAGGGTAAAATATATGGTGGTAAAAACTAGAGTAAGATAGGGAGAGGGATATACTTTATAGTAAGACGTAGGGTAGAGAAAAGTAATATAATAGTACTTTATGCAATATAAACTTGAATAAAGTATAAAGAGGTAGTTTGTAAGTGTAATTATTACCTTTAAACTCATAAAATTCATACAACATAGTCCACTAGGTATTGGCTGATATGTTGGCAATGTTAACGTCGACTGTACTTTTATCATCTGAAAAATTTGAAAAATAAAAAAAGAGAATGCACTGTGAGTCTTAATAAATCACGAGTAAATAATCGAAACAAAAAATTTTTTTTATTTTACAAAATCATCCCTCTCTTCAAACCATTTCTCTTACACTTTTAAAACACCCCACCAGTCAAAGAAAAAAGAGCTTTAAAACACCCCCTAGTACTGGTTTCACTCCTTTTATAATAAAGCTTTACTCTTTATCACCAACTCGTTCTTACAGTCTATCTTCACCTTCACCCTTGGCGTATCATCTACCCTTTTTCCCTAGCATACCCTCTCGTCTCTTTTCTCCTGTGTATCTATCCTCCCTTTCTTCTTTCTTTCCCCAGTCTACCCTACTCTTTTTACCTCAACCTACCCTACCCCTCCTTTACTTAATCTATTCTACCCCCGCTCCTTCCCTCAGTCTACCCTCCTTACTCAACCTATCCTACCCCCTTTACCTCAGTCTACTTCCTTCTTCCTCTCATTCTACCCTACCCTGAGTTCCCCCCCCCCTTGTTATTTACCTCGCCTTAAAAACTGTAAACCAAAAAAGTTGGTAGTAAAACTTTTTGGGGGCGCAAATTAATTTCGAATTGGCAAAAGCGAGTGTTGTTTGGGGATTGGGCCGCGGAAATTCGTCGAGAGTTTGAGGCGAAAAATACTTAATGAGTTCTGTTCCTTTATGCCGTCTGCATATCAATAGAAAGCATGACTATTCGAATAAATTCCCGATAAAAATGAATTGGGGGATATGGACATGAATACATACTTAATACATGTTTTTTGATCGTTAACATGAGTATTAATAAGGGTTAAAAGTAGATGAACAGTTGCTACGTCAAAAAGTTTTATACTGTAGTGAGTAACATATATTACTAGTCATACAAAGAGCTTTAACTTGCTTTAAACCCTAGCTTAGATCCCTAGCCATAGCCTTATTGTTAGCCCATACTTCTTTACATCGTATGAATAAAACACAGAACGGCCTTACATAATATTGGTTATATATTAACATAGCCTTAGAGAAATTGCAAAAAACAGTATTAAGCAACTCTTTCTTATGTAAAATTGTTAACTTTTGTAATATTTGTCTCAATGTAAAACGACCCAACAAATGACTGCGAGTGCTGGGATCTTACTCTATGTTACTCCGGGTGGTTAGTTATAAGTTGTCAACGTTCTGAAGTCGTTAGTTGTTAAAAATCCTAAAAAGCTAACCCCGGCTGAAACCTATGTCTAAACTGAAGATTAAGCCTAAGGTTAGGGTTAAACTTAAGAATAAGCCTAAGCATAAGCATAAGTCTAAACCTAAGTTTCAGCTTACAAGAAGTCTTAAATTTTAATAAAAAACTCAAGTCTACTGAGTCTAAATATAACAATAAGCCTAGTTTCTATACCTTACGCCTAATGCATAGAAATGATCAATTTTCTCTAACTACACTTTACCTAAAACAAATCTTATTTTAATATAAACTTTGAAAACACGGAAGTAATTTCAGTCCAAAAATGTCAGACAAAAAAGTTTTCGGAAACGTGATAAAACTTTGAAATTTGAAACGTTTTGTCACTTTTAATTGACAAATTACTTGGAAAAAATTACCTAACTTGAAAAATGTCATAGAAATACAGTGGAACTCCTGTATAACAAACTTCTATAACGAAGGATTTTCGTATAACGAACAAAGTTTAAACCCTCAAGCACTTCGTTATAAAAGAGTTCCACTGTAGTCAAAAATAAATTTATTCATTTTGATCCCACAATATATTACATTTTTGAAACCCGAACACTGTGGTATTTATAATCTCTACATCATGCTGTGAGATAAAACAATATAAAATTTTCAAAATAAAAATGACAAAATGACGACAGCTCTTTTTGACTATTTTTTTTCTTTTTACAGTGTTTTAGCGAAATAACTAGCTCTAACTGAAAGACCTAGCTTTAGCCCTAGCCCAGAGCCCTAGGTTTAGTCCTAGTCTTAGCTCTGGCCCAAGCTCTGGTTCTATTCCTAGTGTTTGCCCTAGCCCTTGTCGAAGATATGATCTTAGTCTTAGCCATAACTTTAGCTTAAACCCCAGTCCAAGGTTAAGCCTAAACCTAAAAATAAACCTAATCCTAATCTTAAACCTACACTTAAACTTAAGTCAGCCTGAACCCTAGCCCTAAAAACATTCTTAGCATTCTATGGTGTTGAAACACGTTACTTCATAAACAAAAAATGTTGTTATAGTACTACAAAACGCGTTTACCACGATTTGAAACAAAATTCAAGGTCCAAAGAGTTTACAAGTGCAACTACGCCAAAAAAGGGCTTCCTTGTTAGAAGCACCGACGTACGTGGGAAACGTAACGAGGCTTTGTTTTAAAACGTTTAATGCCTAAACTCGTTATTGTTTGGTCAGTTTTACAGTGAAAGCCCTACCCTGCCCTACCCTACCCTTGCCTTGCCGGCTTTGCTCTACCCAACCCTACCACCTTTCCCTAGGCTACCCCTACATTACTACTCAACCCTACCTTACTCTGCCTTACTTTTCCTACCTTGCTTTACTTCTTACGATTCTACTCTAGCATTAATCCGACTTAGCTCTACGCTTATCAAAAATCTTACTTTAAATTCTCTCTAAAGCCAAGCCTACTCCTTAAAGCGTTCATAACTATTAATAAGCCCTGTAAAATATAAAAATAGATGCTATGTAGCACATTGTTGTTGACAGATAGCACGTGAAAAGTTCTTTTCTAAAATTTTGAAAAGCCAAAACTTTTTAAATCTGCAAAGAAAACTTGAAAAACAACAAGTGTTAATTTTAAAACACCAAGAATATATTATTATAGATAGGCTGACTAGCTAAACTTAAAATTTGAAAAAATTTCTTAAAATTAATTTTTAACTCACCTGCCCATCATTTTTCGTACCCTGCATATTATTGTCCGTACCCTGATCAAAATTTTTTTATACCCCGCCCGAAATGTTTCGTGCCTTGCCAAAATATTTTTCTTACCCTGCCCAGCAGTTTGCGTACCCTGCTTATCATTTTCTGCATCCTGTTCATCATTTTCTGTACCCAGCCGCACATCTTTGTACCGTGCCTATAACTTTTCCAAACCCTGCCCAGCATTTTCTGATGCCCTGCCAATATTATTATAACACCCCATCAGCGAACTCATAAGCCCTCATATGGCTATACCTTTCACACTGACTTTTAATACACACCTACGCATGATATATATAATAGTACACCTACTCATCCCACCACCCACAGTACAAAATCAATTATAACTCTGGTTTACTAAAGTGTGAAACATTATTTTTCACACCATTTTGAGTTAAAATTTACGAAAAAATGTGAAAAAGCAGTTTGTTTCACGTCAAGTTTGGAAATGTTTAACCCCCCATAAAACAGGCAGCTTAAGACATTGTTCATATATACATAATGTTATGTGAGCAAGTTTAGTACACTGAACAACTTTTAAATCCTAGCCCAGAGCCCTAGCCCAGAGCCCTAGCCCAGAGCCCTAGCCCAGAGCCCTAGCCCAGAGCCCTAGCCCAGAGCCCTAGCCCAGAGGCTTAGCCCAGAGCCCTAGCCCAGAGCCTTAGCTTTAGCCAGAGCCCAAACCCAAAGCCCAAGGTCTAGCTATTCATACTAAAAGCCCTGCTCTTTTCTTAAGAAGCCCTGCCCTTCTAATACCATGCCCTGCTCTTCTTTCACCAAGCCCTCCCCTTCTCTTGTCAGGTCTTGCTCGTTTCTTAACATACCTCTAACTTTCACTTACTAAGCCCTGCCCTTCTTTTATCAAGCTCTATCCTTGTTTTTCCAAGCCTTGCCCTTCCCTTATCAAACCCTCTCCTTCCCTTACCAAGTCATTCCCTGTCCTCACCAAGTCGTACCCATTATTTCCCAAGCCCTACCCTTTCCATAAAAAACATACCCCTTTCCTATTATTCCCAACCCAAATTGTTTTTTCATTCTGTAACATCCTACAAACAATATAACTACGGTAACCATTTGCAAAACCGCCCGACAAAAAACGGTATACAACTTTTGTTAATCAAATAATAACTCGGCCCAACGATATACAACTTGACCGACAATAAAAAGCCACACATTTGGCCACAACGAACGTAATAGTAAAAAGCCCAAACAATGGCCGTAAAACATTGGCCGAATAAAGTGATAAAAGAATACTTTGGCGCCGTTTGTTTTTTGACAAAAAAAACTTGAGAATATTAAATGAAATTAGACGACTAATCAACTCCAGGCTACTTGGCTGAGAATGAAAACAAAAACAACTCAATGACGGCAATGTTACTACCTCAAGATCTATATTATAGCAAATATACAATATATCTTTTACTGTCTGAAAATAATACGTATATAACATGCTATCTAAAAGACTCGGTATTACCACTTATAAATTTATCTGACAGAAAAATTCTTCTTAAGCGTGGGGTGATAGTGGACTTGAACACAATTTCATCCGCTTTGGCTTCGATGGAAAGAAGTATCCGATCAGACCAGATATATACGATGAAGAGCTAGACATTTTTAGGTGTCGACATTTTTTTAAAGTAAAACAGTTAATAACTTAAAACATGTCTTTTTTAAAAGACTAAGTGCAGTTTCTTAAAACAGTAAAATTTTACTTTTGAAAATCGAGAAAATTTGTAAATTTTCCATTCGCGAAAAGCCGCATTGTTCGACCGGTCGAACCGAAAAGAATGGCAAAAACCAAGTCTCCAGGAAAGAAATGTAAGTTTGGGGATTCTGAAGGCCAAGATAATTTTTTGAATTTTAGTCTAACCTCTCGTTTTTGAAGGTGTTGACGTTGTTTTTATAATTAAAGTTCAACTTCCGACTTTGAATTTAATGTTTTTAATAAAAAAAATAAAATCTTTTATCGAAAATTTAACAAAACGTCCCTTTACAGCTCGCGGCACCATTCAAAGAGTGCGCAAGAAGCCGAAAAGCCAAGGCTACCGCCTCTACATTCTCCGTTTGCTGAAGAAGATCCGCCCCGGCGTGAACATCTCGAACACCGCCATGAACACTTTGAACGACATGACCAAGACCCTGATCAGTCGTCTCAACTACGAAGCCGCCGTCCTCACGGATGCGCGTCGCATCGCCACGATCCGCGAGAAGGACGTGCTCGCGGCCGCCAAACTTCTGATGAAGGGCGATTTGTTGGCTCACAGCATCATGGAATGTCGCAAAGCTACTGCCAACTACGACCAAGGCCCGGTGGTGGAAAAAGGGGGCAAGAAGAAGAGAAAGAAGAAGTGATAGTCAAGGTTCTTTGCTCTGGTCTCAAAATATTATCCGTATCTTTCAATAAACTTTATAACTGATATCTGTCTTCTATAATAAGATTTTTATCTGGAGTCTGCCTTCTTTGATGAGTCGTGCAACTGACCTCTGCCTTCTTCGTTTTTTAGAATTATACCTTTATATTAACATTGTACAGCACTTTTTAATCGTGCTAACAACACAGAATAGTAAGCTCATACATTTTATTATCTGTACATGCAATATCATATTCATTATAAACTCCTAGTATCAACAAAATCCTTCCTTTTTATCAAAACATCCCCTTTTCACTTTCTAACAAAAACATCACCAAAATCCTCATAATCGGAATGATTTATCATTAAAATCCTTCTTAAACAATGCAAATCAACAAGAAACAAATAATGAATAAAATAAGAGAGAATCTAATAGGTTGTGAGGTCAAAACGGACGTCTATTCCAACTTGGCGACGATATCCTGTTCTCGGTAGATGTAGTACTCTTGGGCTTCGATCGTCACCTTGTTTCCTCCGTATTCCGGCAACAAAACACGGTCACCGGCCTTCAACAAGTTGGGCACGGTTTGGCCGCTTTCGGCACGGTATCCGGGTCCAGCAGCCACCACGGTTCCTTCCAAAACCTTGCCGGTAGCCTTCTCGGGGATCATGATTCCGCCCTTGGTCTTGGTCTCGGGCAAAGCACGTTCCACGATCACACGGTCGAAGAGGGGCTTCAGGCCGGAAAGACGCTGAAAATTTTGAAATTAATTCTGAGACTTAAATTCATCCTTTAAGCCCAAAAAATGTAAAACAACCTTTCAAACTTCAAAATATTGTTCAGGCCACCTATACCTTCTAAAACCGTTCACAAAACCTTTAAAACTATAAATTAACTAAACCTTAATCTTTAGAAAAGTAAAATATACTTTGTTTTAACTTTTAAACAACCGATGATCTACAAACAGAAGCTTGTCAACTCTAAAAACCTAAAAACCGAACAATAATATCAAGAAAACTTACGTTGGCTACACGAGAGAAGAGCATTGTTGCTGAAGGTCCTGAAAGATATCCAAATTACTTTTATTATCAAAAGAACGTTAAAACACTAAAGAACGAGACAACTTGAACGCGAAACAAGTCGAAATTTCCGGAAAAAAGTTTTAATTTTTGGCCCATAAACTTTTCCAAAGAGCAGCGTGCGCCCACTTTTTTGCAAGCTGCGCTTCGTCAGAAATAGGCCCAAAATTTCGCGAAAATTCGCGAACATCGAAACAGCGAACGTCCAGTCCTTTTTTCGTCGAATTTACGTCAAAATTTGAAATATTTTCAAGGGCTTTAAGGTTTATTTATAATTAAAGGGCTTTTTATACAGATTTTTATATATTTTTGCGGCTTTCACTTTTTTTTCAAGGCCTTTTTGCTCTTGGCGGGACAGTTAATATTGAAAGCGGGCTGATATTTAAGTTTTTGTATTTTAATATTATTATAAAGTTTATGAAAGCAATCTGGGAATTCAAAAACTATAAAGCAAGTTTTAAGGACTAGATTAATATTTTAGGTAACAAAAAGCTGAACTTTTTAAAGTAAGCCTAAAATACGTTTCATATTACTTTTATATTGTTTCTAAGCTAAAGTAACTAGTAAAATATAAAAATAAATGTACAAAAGGATTTTTTATCTAAAACCTTATATTTTTAGCTAAAGTAAGGTCCTGGAACCTCTTTTCTCGAACGCCCCTTTTCTAGAACAAGTATAACGTAAACCTAAAGGAAGTTGCGTTACTAAGCTAGCTGTTAAGTGCATCGAACACTCAGGGTCTTGTTTTGGACATTATTATCATTACGAACTGATCAAAGGTCTAGGAACTTTCGAGAATTCTCCTGCGTTTTTTGATTCCACCCCTTTAAGCAGGCAAGGAAAGGAAAAAAGAGTTCCGAGTGTGTTCGCAGTGCGATAAACTTGAAGTAGGGTCAAATTGGGGGCCGAAAGGAACGATGAGAAGACTTTCATATTATCTTATCTAAGGATAAGATGTTGATATGCAGAGATCTTTACTTTTTTTGGGGTTTTTTGCTTTGACATATTTTTATCATTCGTCAGCTTATCATAGTGCTTTTGCTAGATTTTAGCTGTAACACTATTGTTTTAAATTTAAGTTTTATATCGCTTTTGGTCATGAATGATATAATTGATGTTTAGCTTGTAGTAACCTCGAATTTTCAGTTATATTTTCCAAAGATGCTTCGCAAAATCCCCAACACACACACCATCGTCCGTCACTACGCCAAGGACCTCAAGTTTGGCGCCGATGGCCGCAAAAACATGTTGGTCGGTATTGATCTCTTGGCCGATGCTGTCGCTGTAACTATGGGACCAAAGGTAAGATTTCTTAATTGTTATTAGTTTTTAGATGTGCTATAGTGGTTTAACAAGTTGGAGATACGGAAAAAACGTCTGTTTTGAAGCAAAACTGTATTTTAGGTATTATTTATGGAAATCTTTGATTTATATTGGGTTAAAAGTCAAAAATTTACCCAATTGAAGATACTAATTTCTGTTTAACTAATATATTATTTTTAGGGCCGCAACGTGATCATCGAACAATCATGGGGATCCCCGAAGATCACCAAGGACGGTGTGACTGTAGCCAAGTCCGTTGACCTCGGAGACAAATACCAGAACTTGGGAGCTCGTCTAGTTCAAGACGTAGCCTCAAAAGCCAACGATGAAGCTGGAGACGGTACCACCTGTGCCACCGTTCTTGCCCGTGCCATCGCTAAGGAAGGCTTCGAGAACATCAGCAAGGGAGCCAACCCAGTCGAAGTACGCAAGGGAGTGATGAAGGCTGTCGACACCATTGTCGCCGAACTCAAGAAGATGTCACGTGACGTCACCACTCCAGAGGAAATCGCTCAAGTCGCCACGATCTCAGCCAACGGTGACGTCAAGATTGGAGAACTGATCTCAGAAGCCATGAAGAAGGTCGGAAACAAGGGTGTAATCACCGTGAAGGATGGCAAGACCTTGGTCGATGAATTGGAAGTCATCGAAGGATTGAACTTCGACCGTGGATACATCTCTCCCTACTTTATCAACTCCAGCAAGGGAGCCAAGGTTGAGTTCGAGAAGGCTTTGTTGTTGTTCAGCGAGAAGAAGATCTCTAATGTTCAGGTGGGTTTAAATGCTGTTTATTGATGTTGGAAACAAGGTTAATATGTAAAGATTTTTTTTTAAAATCTGAGTATTTTTTGATATTAAACTAGTTTTTTAAATTCACAATTAATTGTTTTTATAGCTTTTTTTGACTAAAAATATCAAAATTTTAATAAAAAATTTTTAGTCCATTGTCCCAGCTCTGGAACTCGCCAACAAGTACCGTCGCCCATTGGTGATCGTCGCCGAAGATGTTGATGGAGAAGCCCTTACCACTTTGGTGCTCAACAGACTGAAGGTCGGTCTTCAAGTTGCCGCCGTCAAGGCCCCAGGATTCGGAGACAACCGCAAGAACACATTGAAGGATTTGGCCATCGCTACCGGCGGTGTTGTATTCAATGACGATGCCAACCTGACTAAATTGGAGGACATCACCATCGATGACTTTGGAGAAGCCGGTGAAGTGACCGTCACCAAGGACGACACGTTGATCTTGAAGGGCAGTGGCAAGCCAGAAGATGTTGAAGCTCGTCTTCAACACATCCAGGAAGAAATTGAGAACTCGACTTCTGACTACGAGAAGGAGAAGCTTAACGAGCGATTGGCCAAGCTCTCACGAGGTGTTGCTTTACTGAAGGTCGGAGGATCATCGGAAGTTGAAGTAAACGAGAAGAAGGACCGTGTCACAGACGCTTTGTGCGCAACCAGAGCAGCTGTTGAGGAAGGTATTGTTCCCGGAGGTGGTGTAGCTCTCTTGAGGTCGTTGAAGGCTCTGGAAAGCTTGGAAGCCGCCAATGAAGATCAGAAGGCTGGTAAGTATTTTGTGAAGTTTATGAAGTTAATTTACTATGATTGTTATTATATGGTACAATTTATGCTTTTTATAAGCTTTATTGTCTTCTTCTAATATTCAAAATCACAAAAAGTTGTTTTATGTTTTTTATCAAATAATTTTTTATTCGTATTTTAGGTATCAAGATCATCCAGAAGGCCGTCCGTCAACCAATCTCCACCATCGTCCAGAACGCCGGTCTCGAAGCCGCTACCATTGTCGCCAAGGTCCTCGAGAACTCTGACGTCAACTTTGGCTACGACGCTCTGAATGACAAGTTCGTGAACATGGTAGATGCCGGAATTATCGACCCAACCAAGGTCGTGAGAACCGCTCTTCAAGATGCTGCTGGAGTCGCTTCCCTGTTGGCCACCACCGAATGTGTCGTAACCGAAGTGCCAAAGCCCGAACCAGCCGCGGCCGCTGGAGCCGGTATGGGCGGCATGGGAGGAATGGGTGGCATGGGCTTCTAAACTGATCCTCATCACTTTGTTACAGACTTTTGATTGGTTATTGTAATGTAGTTGTTATGTAAATTTGTTTTGTTTAAAGGCTTTGATGTTATTGTGGCTATAATTGTCTTTATTTGAGTTTGATCTTGTTGTTGGTATAGCTGGTATAGATATGTTGAGCAATTATCTTATTTGTAGTAGCTAGAACACGACTTGTACGAGATTGTAAGCTTGATTTATATAACTATTGCATTGCTTTGGCCAATCAAGGCATTCCAATTAAATAGTTTTTGTTTTCAATGACCTCTTATCTCTGGTTGTTTCTCATCAGCTTCTCTGTCTAATACCGGGATTGATTGGCAGAGCTATAACCAAATTAGGATTTATCGTATCATTGTTTTGTTTGTTGTTTTTTGTTCATAATTTGAATAAAATATTTTTGATAATGCCAAAAATCTTGTTGTGGGTATCTAAAACGAAAAGTTAGACGTGGAGGACGAGGACTGGCCGGGACTAATTTTCAGGTTTAGCCCGGTCGTTTTTTGAGTCAAGACCAGTCCATTCTTTAATTCTAGTAAAAGCCGATATCAGATATTGTTAGCAGTATTTATTAGGTTTGAGAATAACAAATTACAGTGAAAGGCCTTCTGTAAGGAATTGGCCTCTTATTTTACAGTAACCGGGTTAATTGTTTGAAAATACAATATAAAATAGAGATTCAAATGTAAATATGGGAAATTGTGAATTTAAAGGCAGTTTTCATTGATAAGTATCTTTTTTGAGCTGAGACATTGAAAACCAGTGATATTATACATGAATTTGATTATTATACTTTAAAAGGCTATTATAATACTCTATCCTATAGACAATCGTATATAAAATTAAAAAAAGTTACTTTTGTACTTTTACTGTAAAAGATTCTAAAAAATATAAATTAACTTTAAAAATTTTAAAAAATCATCAAACTTTTAAAAATGTTACCTAAAATCTTATCCAAGGCTTAAAACCATCTTTTAAACCCTCTACCCTTCTAAATCAACCCTAATCAGCCGGTAGCTTGCATGAATTTGAAACAGGAGAACAATTTTCATATTCTTTCAAGTTTGGGTTGTCCAAGTCGCCGCGGGTGCCTTGTTCGTTGGGCGTGGCCAAGGGGTTGCCAAAGTTTTTCACACAAGCACATCGATGGGATTTCGAGCCGGCTGCGAACAGTTTGCGTGGCACTCCAACCCATTCTCGTTTCACTCCACCACTTTTGTTCGTGCACCATACTCGACCTCCAGTATCTTTGTGCCATTCCGAGTTGCATGGAGGAAACGCTTCGGTCTCTTTCACCTGCTTCTTCTTGTACTCTAACGCGTTTTCTAGACGTTCATTCACCTAGAATTGGTTTGATATTAAGGCCTCGAATAAACTTTTTTCAAAAAATTTGTGATTTGTTACCTAAAATTTGAGTTTTTGCCCAGAAACGTTAATATAAATCAAATTTTATATAAAATATAGCTTCAAAATATTAACAAAACCCTCAAAAATAAAAACTAAACTCACATCCTTTCCATACGCTGTCAATTTGCCATTCCCATCATAGAACAGCCCTTGAACAAACCCCACCAACTTGTATTCCTTATTATAAAAGTTGACCCAATCCAACAAACTCAGCAATTCCTGATCAGTCAGGCCCTTAACATCATCAGTAAGACCGTTCGGAGTGAAATCGCCGGTCACAAAAGCTCTGGTCGCATCTTTTCCAGCGAAAAAGTGATATCCACCACCAGCTGAGTAGTGTTTTCGGCCTTTTTCCACATCATAAACCCTGCCCAATATGGCCAAATACACTGGTTGAGATTCGCGACTGCCATCAAAAAGTGCTAGTTGATCTGGTGTATATACTGACTTGCCTAAAACGCCAGAAAATTGAGTTCAAAACGAAAACTTTTGGTCAGTTCCTTGTCATAACTAGTATGGCTAATATAACTTTGAATTACTCCAAAACCGAAGCCAGTAAAATAAGTTTCAGTTAAACTAAATCATTAACAAGACTCATATCTCGCTTCCAAAAGCATTTGATACCTAAAAATAAAAATAGAACTATTAAAAATTACCTTTCGTATTCAGTTTGACACCCAGTTTTAGTGGCTTATCAGGCTTTTGCTGGTTTCGAAGTTCTTGGCGAGGAATGTATTTTGAAAGTCCAACTAGTGATCGGAATGTGTCCACCGTACGTTTAACATAACTAATCTGAAAGCATTTTACTTTTTAAAACGATTCGAATGAACTTAAAACGGATTTACACCAAACTTTTGAAAAAGCTGGTAGGTGTGCGTAAAACAATATGGGGACGATTGAGAACACGTTTATATCGTTTCTCACGTTTTTCAATTAGCTAGCCAAAGCCATAACGCAACTTTTAAAAGCAAAATTGTACTTATCTAACACAGACTAAAAGACTTATACCCAAAATTGTTTATACCTACATCAAAGAGTGAGTACTATAACCTAATTTGATCAAAACTCAAAAACGGCTTTTTCAATTATTGTAAAACAGCTAATATTACCTGTAAAAGACTTTAAGCTAGCTAATAAGATCCATCTTGACATATATATCTAAACAAACAACAAAGAAAGCAAAAGAGTTACCTTGTATACTCGATAAATCGCCCATTCCACTGTCTCATTAACGGGCAACTTCACATCATATGCCGAAAACAAGAACGATATTACAATCAAATTGACCGAGATTAAAACCAAGCCCTTTGTGTACAAATTTGGATGCGGGAAGGGCAAGGATCTGGGCATTTCCCGTCACAATTCTCTCCGAATATTGGTTGAAAGGCACGGCTAGGTGGAACTGGCTGTAATTCCTGAGATTCCAATGTTTTAACCCTGAAAACAGCTGGTATAGTAAGTTGTTTTTATCGTGGTTAATTTGAGAAACTCGGAGGAGTGGTGGGAAGTTGGGAAAAGGTCGTATCTTTGGAGTTTATTCGAGAGCAACAAGGAAAAAAAATATTTTTTTATTTACAAAAAGAATTGACTCAAATTAGTCAAGTGTGTCGTTGAAGGGATAGGCATTTGTAAAGTGTTTACTGCACAGTAAAAAAGGGCGATAATAAAAATGTATTTAATCATAAATGTTTGAAACAAAATTAATCTTCATATATTAACAACAAATTATTTATTTTTTAGCTTTTACAGGAGTAAAATCATAAAAATACGGATCAAAAACATCTTTTAAGCCTAAAATACCTCTCAAAATGACAAAACACCAAGTAAAATCCAATAAAAATGTAAAACAATCCCCTCCCAGACATCCCATTCGCATTTTTATTTGTTTTTGTTGTGTTTTCAGATCAAATAAATAAAGAACATAATCAAAAAGCCGGAGGAATTTTTGCCAAACGACACAACTGACCTGAAGTGCATATAACTTTTCCCACTCTCGGCTGTCTCAGGCTTGTTGAGATCGGGACAAAAGGAGAGAAAGTATATTATAGATAATGTTTTAACATTTTCTTGACGTTTCAGGAAATTTCGGGTCCTATTTTAGGAGCAATTTAGGTTTTGATGAGTGAAAAGGGTAAAAAAGATGAGGTAGGTGTAGCTTTGCCATTTAAAAAAAATTGAAAATTTCCTTTGTTAGACTAGTTGTCTAATAGAATTGTCTACAACCACACAAACTTTTCAGGTATTAGCTATGTTATTAAAAAAGCTATGATTAAAAGATCAAATAGTTCACCAGCTTTGACAGCTATGTGAAGATCCTCAAGTTTACGGTTGAAAAGATTAAAAATATAAAGCACTTGAGCTCTGGTTCTTCTGGAGAATTTAATTCGGTCAAAAAAGCAAAAATAAATATTTTAAAAATTTTTAGGTAACAAATTTTAACTTCTCCTGTTTAATCAAAGTAATAAACCCCAAAACTTAAAAAAATTTAATTCCCACCTTAAAAACAGTCTGAACGTCAGTTCCGTTCACCCATGCTGACTTGATTGTAGCTCCACCAATGTCAGACCAAAAGATTCGTTGTGTGCCACGATCAAAATCAATATCCACCACGACTTGATGTGAAACGACAAAAAGCTGTCGGCCAACTGAATGTTCTCCACTTTCCTTTTCAAGAATCGACATTCCGCGTGCAATCAACAAAGATCCTGGCTCGTCTTGGTTTACCGCTAAAAATTGTTGTTATACCTAGATTGTTGTTCATTTTTTTAAACTTTCAAATTGTAATTTGAAAAAGTAAATTAAAAAAATTAAGAAAAGACAATTCTCCTTTATTTAAACCAAAAACCTTGTTTATATTCATCAACATACCAACGTTATAGCATTTTTTCTAACCAACGCCTATATATTACCCATGACAAAACTAAATGCTCTACAACTCTTTCAAATATCACTAAACTGTAAAATCATAGTATTTTTAAAATTAAGAAGACTATGGCACGTCTTTTAAGACTAAAACCTTACCCACATCTACCTTAACCAAGAAGTTATGACCTTTTTCTTACTGCCTATCTACTATATTAACCACGATCAGTACTCCATCCTAAATCTCCTCAATTAAACTGCAATATACCACCTAAAAACAATTAAATACAACCAATGATAACTTACAATTACAAACAATCTATTTCCGTGACATCCATAATTACATCCACATACATATTGACTCAAATGAATTGAAGAAGTCCCGCATATTTACAGGCGCTTGTTTTCGTGGTGGGACCAACCGTTTTCACAATGAATTATTTCCGGCAGTCGGTTTTAGACTTATTTTTACTCTTTAGGCTTATTTTCACTCTGTAAAACAGAAAAATAACTAGCTTTAAAGGTTTTTGATTTTTATATTTAATGGGTTATAATATTTTTTGTCATTTTGTTAGATTCGAGTTTTTTTTTCTTGTTTCAGCAACAGTTTTTGTTGAAAAACGTGTAAATTCTTTTTATACGATAAAACGTGTCATGAAAAATTTTCGTTTTCGGAGATTGAAACAAATTTTTAGGTAACAATCAGCAACAACCGGACGACGGCCAAAGCCCAAGACTTGTGTCAGTATAACTTTTCGTCAGATTATTGTTCGGTAAGTTGACTTTCTTGTTGTTATTCGGTTTTTAGGTGTGGTGGCATGGAAATGAGAGGTTTTTAAAGGCATTTTTTGGTGTTTTTAGATACATTAGGGATTTTCTTTGTTTTGGAATAGTTTTTGGTTTAATTTTGAGCTAGTTTCTGAGGTTTTACATTGTTTTAGCTTCTATAGGTAGGATAATATAGAAAAGATCCTTTTTTCGTTGACTTTTTAAAGTTTATAGCTAAATTAAGATTTTTTATGTTAGTTTTTAAATATTTGAGCTGCAAGGGCTTTTTATATTTTTTTAGGCATCAAACGAATATTTTGGGAATATATATCTAAAACAATATTTTTGATCAAAATTTGCTTTTCTATTGACTTTCTTGGTTTAAAAGTAGAATAAGTAGATAATATATCAGTTTTTAAGTAGTGATTTACTTAGTTTATATTGACTTTGAAATTTTTATCGTCAATTTTTGCTTAGATACATCAGTTTTTCAAGCTTGATGTCGAAAACAATGCGTTTTGATTTGAATTCGTATCGTTTATGACGTTCGAGTTTTATAATAGCTTTATAAGACGTTTGAGTAGCTTTTGGATTAAGATTTACCGGAGTAAAGGTCTGATTTTTGTAGGTATAGAGAGAAATTGCTATGAGACTGCTAGTTCATGGGTAATATTCGATTTTTAGGTAGTCTTTGACGTTTAATGCTTGAAATTATTTAGAAATAGGATTACCTTAACTCTAAGAACGTTTTTATTTATATTTTACAAATTTCAGCCTCAACTCTCCCAAATTGGTGTGAACATTACCGAGGCCAAGAAGTGCACAGATTACTACAGCCCTGAGTTTGGCGCCACCGTCAAGTACATCAAGGAAGAGTTTGCAAACAGCTGTGCCAAGAGTTCATCCGAAGCCAAACACGATATTCAGAAGCGCGACCCCAACACCTTGAAATTGGTCGTCCTTTCCGATCTCAATAAGTGGATAACCTACAACGCTCCACAATTGAAGCAGACCATTGCTCAGTCCCTCCAAGTCATCATCTGCACCAAGAAGTGTGTTGACATCAGAACCAGTCATGAGCTCAGACGCGTCTACAACTAAGCGTTTGTTCAGCCCGGTAGGTTACATTGTAAATTTTGTATAGTATTTGCCGTTCACATAATATGTGTAATTTGGATGAAGGTGATACGTTGAGGGAGGCCGGCCTGCACTAACTAGGGAATTGCAGAAAATAAGCTTTTCGTGTGAGACTTATATAGAATATGTTTAAAAAGTATAGGTTTAAAATTCAAAACGATAACTTTAGAAAGATATTTCTTTCTGAATTGAAAAAAAAATGTATGACCAAAAAAATTTATCATAAAATTAAAATATAGTTTGGCTATCCAAAACGTCTTGTCAGAATGGCAAGACGCTAAAATTAAACCGGCGGGTTTCGAACTTACCTCCTTCTGCACCGGTTAACACTCCGATTAACACCTTAGGCACTCGATTACATTGAATTGATTCCTTAATCCATCTTTAGAAGCCCATAAGTTTTCTAATGTATTTTTTGGCCGCTAATATCTCGGTAGTCGAGACCATTTAGCAGCCTTTAAAAATGGCTTTTTATGCTTTTTCATCCTATATAGGCCTGGTTAAAGTTCGGTCCGCTTTCTTTAAAAACGGAACCTGTGAAGGCACGAAATGTATGACATTTTTAAAAACCTGTCATAATTATAAATGATAAATTCATATACAACATCAATATAATAATAGTACCGTAATCCCACAAACCATAGTATTTCTACATTAATTAAGACCTTTTTTGTACTGAAAAATCAAGTTAAATTTTAAAATAAGGTTTTAAAAGACCTTTAATAAATATATAATGTAATATACAACATGTTTCGAAAATTGTGAATTATTTAAAAAAACTACGGTACTTCTAAATTAATTAATACTTTTTTGCGCTGAAAAATCGATTTGGAGTACTGTAACTGCTTTTTGAAGTGAGAGTTTAAAACACCTTTCATAATTATTAAAGATAATGTGATATACAAACTCTTTGTCTAAAATTTTAGATTAACTCTAAAAATACAGTAATTTATTTTCAGTCATCAGGCCGAACAGACATTTTGGGGTCTTTTGTCACCACTGAGGAGGTCACGCTCAATACGTCAATCGATGTAAGTTAGTTTTCTTACGTATTAATGGTATATAAAGATTAATGTTTTCTGAGATTTAAAGGTAGTATTAGTTTGTCCTGAAAAGAATGGCCGATTGTGGCGAAAAAATTTTTGTCGCTTCATAACTTGTTTTTTATTGTTGATTAACGTTTTTTACATTGTTGGAAAGCACAAAATGTGAGCTTCATTTTCATGTTTTATGATATTTGATTGACTATTACCTGAGTTATGACTTTTTTTACAGGCGGTGTTCAAACACCAAATTTTTACATTTTTTTGTAAGAGTTCAAGTTACGCAATACCGCGACGCAGGTGTAATAAGTTGTGGTGTGAGATATTCTCTAGCGAAGCCCACTGACCTTATCGTGTTATAAACCAAGTACCAATATATATCAAATAACCAATAAATGATCTTTACGATCAACCAAATACTAACTACCAAATAAACCAATACCAAATAATCCAATACCAAGATACCAATACTTTATTTCAATCAAACCTACAAAACAAATATATCTTGACGCTGATCGCGACCAACCGCACAACTCGTTTGAAGCCAGTAATATTTTTGGCAATTACTAGCCTTCTCTTTCAAAATTCGTATATCACCTCTTGTAAGAATGCCTTTTGTGGCATGTTTCTCAGCCAACTTAATCACTTGAATTGAATTCCAGACTGTTTCGCTATGTCACATGACATCAGGTCGTACTTCACAACAACTAAAACCGCGACAGTTTCGCAAAATAAGGACGACAATGAGCCACCAGCAAAAATTGCGCGAACAGAGGATGAAGTTACTATAACACAACATCCAAACGACATTGGACTTTATATCAGTAAGAAGAAAAGGAATATACACGTGACGGACGAAGAAAAGTTCATGTTTTTGCAAGATCCTCATGTGCCTCCAGACGGCTAAGTAAGTAGGAATTTATCCTATATTTTTCATGTTTTAGGATTGGCCGACTTTTTCACGACGTAGAGGCGAGAGGACAACTGTGGAAAAGTTAGGCAAAAGCTACTTCGAAGTCAACGTTCACAAGAACAGTTACATGACCTTTTCACCTCAAGATTATGGTATTTACTGTCGAGCATGTGTATTATTTTGCCCGTTTGGAGTAGGAGCGTCTGGAGGTGGAAAAGCTGGCGAATTTGTCAGCCGACCTTTTACAGACTGGGGTAGCTATAACAAAGGACAATCAAGAGGGAAGACGCACCACATTAACACCGAATATCACAAAGAATGTTGCAGGAAGACAGAAACATTTATATTGAGTATGCTGAATCCTGAGAAGGACATTAGGACAAAAGCAGCTAATACAGAAACTGATCGCTTAAATTTTGGGAGGAAGGTATTTAAGGTAAAAAAACTGTTAATGATAATTACGTTTTTAGACAGCTTTTGACAACATTGTCTTCTGTGCTCGCAATGGCCTTGACTTGAGAGGAACTAATTCCAATATAGTGACCGTTCCTCAAAATGCATCAGACTTTGACCCTTCTGATGGTAACTATACGAATTTATTAAAAGCAAGACTACGATGGAACGATCCTCTGGCACATGATGTTATGAATGGAAGTAAGTGACAAATTGATTAAAAATTATTGTAATTTAGATCAAAACGACATGGAATGTTTGAAAAAACAGGTAGTTTAAGTGTGCTTTGCTGTATTCACTTTATTGCTTGCACTTTGTGCCGTTTGTGTGTTGTCACTTTTCTTGTCTTATTTAGGTAAAAGTTTTCACTACAATAGTGGTCAAGTACAGAACGAAATTCTGGCAGCATGCGGAAAGGTTACTCGAGAATCAATTAAGTCTGAATTGACTTTTTCACGATATATATCGATTGGGATTGACGAAACGACGGACGAAAGCAACCAAAGCCAAATGACAGTGATCTTGAGGTATTTAAAGGACTTTACCATAGTCGAAAGATTTTGGTCATTTGTCAGGTTAGAGAAGGCAGATTCGGAGTACCTGACCGAAGTGATAGTAAAAGGTAAGGAGTTTTCATATTGCTTATGCTGTTTTAGAGCTAAGTTCAATCGGTATTACTCCGGAATCAATCTTACGATGGAGCCGCAAACATGAAAGGATGTCACAATGGGGTTCAAAAGAGGCTACTAGACCGTTTCCCGCTGGCTACCTTTTACTACTGCAGCATACACGCCCTGAACTTGTCATTAACAAAAGGAACTAACTGTGATTTGCTTATAGTAAGTTTTAAACGTCAAATCCTTTTTAAATACATTTGAAAATTTAGTATATAATTATCTCATTTCAGAAGGGGATGAAAATAATCAACGACCTTTCCACTTACATCAACAACTCCCCCAAAAGAGCTGAACTGTTAAGTAAAGCAATTGAAGGAATCAAAGGTCCACAAGAACGAAGGAGGAAACTTCTGAAGTTATTTGCTACACGCTGGTGTGAACGGTCAGACTCTGTAATTGTTTTTTTTGACTGTATCAATCCAATTGTGGCAATGTTAATTCAATTGGATCAGGTAGATGACCTTCAAGCTACAGGCTTTATTGGAATGCTTCGCAGAACTACTAACCTTTTTGCATTTGCGATGTTGTACGTTATATTTGCAACAGTCAAAGCCTATTAAAATACTCCAGACATCAGCACTTGACATTTTCACTGCACAAGCGACTGTTCAACAAATCATCGACGTCATAAAGGGTTGGAATCTTAAGAAAGGAGCCGGATCTTTTAATAATGTAATGACATTGGTGCAAAATTTAAAACAAGAAATCAATTTGTATGATGCTGTGGACGTATACGACGATCATGGCATGGCCAAAATTGAGGAAAAGCATACGGAGATGGTAAAAAAGCTGGGTGAACAAATCTTGAAGACGTTTGATAAGACGTTTTCACTCACAAGATCACTGGGACTGTTCTTACCAGCAAATGTAACTAATTTTGATGATGTGAAAGAAATTTGTGACTTTTGCATGGAGAATGGTGCCCTAACTTGCAGTACAGTTGAAATGCAGACAGAATTTGAACGTTGCGTTCAGACGGTTACACAAAACAAGTCAAAGTTGGAAACTGCTGATTACAAGATGTTGCTAAAGTACACAATGGACCTTTACCCAAACGTTCATGTATTGTTAAAGGTGTGGTTATTTATATTTTAAATTTTTAAAGTTTTTTAAACATTAATTTTGTATATTAATGTGTAAAAGTAATTTTCAGATATTTTTCACTATATCTCCCTCCAACGCTACAGCTGAAAGAACCTTTAGCTCTATGAAGTTTTTAAAGAGTTCTTTGAGGAACAGAATGAAACAAGACCGTCTCAACGACTGTTCCACAATTTATATAAACAAAGACATAGAAATCGATGAAAAGAAAGTATTAGTGGAATTTATGAAGGACAACAGACGCTTCGACTTCGGGAAAGTTACCGTACAAGAAGAGGAAAAAGAATCTGACTAGTTATGTTAATTGTTTGTTTCATTATATTGTTACTAATTGTTAAGTTTAATTGTTATTAAAGATGATAAAATGAGTATTACTTCTTTTTGTAAAAAATACCACAGGTAGCTAGCTGTAAAAAATTATAAGTTTGAAAAATTATTGGGTCAAATTTCACCACAGGTAGCTACCTGTGGTGTCGACCTTCCCCCAGAGAAAAACCGTAGCGACGTCCCTGTCCACACCCATGCCCATATTTATACCTCTAACCCTACCCATATTCATACCCATGCCCATACTTTTTACCATAATACCAATAATTTTAAAAACTTTTTAAAATCGTATAAAATATTTAGTATCATACTCAAAATAGTATCAGAAAACATACTTACATTGTCTTCGGGAAATAATAATTTTTTTACGGATATCAAAACTATTTTAAGAGTTTTGAACAGAAGAAATTAAAATCTACAAAATTATTGCATAATTTCAATCGTATTTTCAAAAAAACTTCGGGCGTCCTATGATCTGGTCACTGCAATGTTATTTTATTTTAAATATTAAAAATTAGGCTCGGTCCTGCGGAACTCGCAACCCAAATTTTGATAATAGAGTTAGCTTACCCCCCCCAGAAAAAAAATTTTCGAAAAAAGTTGAACGTGGTCCCCCCCCTGTGGATTTTCCTAAAAAAAATTTTTCGCGAAAAATCGGCACAGGTAGCGTGTGTCGATTTTTTTCGACCCCGCCTCCAGACCAAAAGTCCCCGCACTGGCTATACTCATAACATACCCAAACCCATGCCATGCCCGTACCCTTATCCGTAACCATGCCATACCCGTGCAACACCCACGCCATACCCAAACCCATGTCATACCCAAACCCATGCCGTACCCATACCCATGCCAACCCAAACCCATGCTATACCCATGCCCATTTCATACCCATATCAAACCGAAACCCATGCAACACCCATGCCATACCGATACCCATGCCATACCCAAACCCGTATCTATGCCATAGTCTTGCCATGCCCGTATCCATACCGATACCCATGCACACCCATGCCATACTGATACCCATGCCACACCCATGCCATACTCAAAATATTAAAAATCTTACACAATATATAGTATCGTACTCAAAATAGCATCATAAAAACCCTACATAATTTGCCCAAACCATTTCAATTTCTGACATTTAATAACAACGGAACAAACTAATGACTTTAAAACTCTGTATAGTCATATTGCTTATGCTTCTTGTAATATATATTTAAAATTTATACAGAACGTTACTATGATTATATTATTAGATTACACACGTTAATTAAAATTTAAAATAACAAGGATACGGTAGAACTACATTAACTAAATATAAGATATTACGATACCAAATTAATGTAGAGTTACAGTAGTAGTTACAATATTGGTTTTTACTTGCCTTTACTACGGTACTCTTTCTTCGTGTTTCAAGAAAATTATTTCTTAAAACTGGCATTTGTTGCTGTAAATCTACGGCCTTTTTTCAATTTTTACAAACATTATGCTCAAATTGCCGCTGGCAAAAGTTTCATAGTACTTTGCCACTTATTTTTTAATACATACTTTATCCCTCAAACTGCAAAAAACAGCCGAATAGTACAGTACCACAAAAACGGGCTATTTTTATACCGTATTTTACCGACTACTGTACTCAAAGACTAAAATATGGAGACTTAATTATGTAGAAATATAAAAAATAAAATGTAACATATTTCAAATCTAAATTATTAAACAGCCATAACATTTTAGATGCTGCCAAAGTTTACGTGTGTCCGAGATTGGAAAAGATACATCGAACAACAAGTCGCTGAGATGGAAAAGCAACACCATCTTCTTGGTCGACGCATTATCATGGTTCACGGGCTTCTAATGGAAATGCCGGAAGAAGAACAAAACTTCAACTACAAGCGAGATGATACAAGTGTAGGCTCAGATTGGAGCATTACTGGCGGCTTCATGCCACAGCCCAAACCTGAGCCTGAAGAGAGCACCCACAAACGCTCAGCAGACAACAAAAGTATGTTTTGCCTTTAAGTATTATATGAGGATAGAACCTGCTAAAAACTAATATAACCTAAATTATAATAGTCTACTTATTGTTACATACCCTGATTATAACACTAAATGTCTTGTCACTACTTACTTTGTTCTTATAGTATTTGACTTTGTTGACATTTTAGAAGATCCACCTCCAACTACATCATCCAGTTTTCAACCGGCCATAACACCAATCAAACAGGAATCAAGGTCAAGCTCCAATTGTGAAGAGTGTGTAAAGTTTCCTGACGAGACTTCAACAATTGGGCTGCACGAACCCACTCCCCAAAGTCGATCCGAAAAAAAATCCACAGGTCTTGACACCAGATGCGTTGGTAGCTCGAATGCAACGTAAGTAGTTCTGTTTTTCTACGCAATGAACTATATAAAGGAGTTAAAAAGTAGAGAACAGATAACCCTGGATGAGTAAGTCTAGAAGTTTAAGCCAAAGCCACATCCTAAGCCTAAGCATAGAAGCCTAAGCCTAGTAGCCTATGCCAAGAAGTCCAAGCCTAGAAGCCTAAACCGCCTAGAAGCCTAAGCCTATAGAAGCCTAAGCCAAGAAGTCTATGCCAAGAAGTCTAAGCCTAGAAGTCTAAGCCTAGAAGTCTAAGCCTACAAGCCTAAGCCGCCTAGAAGCCTAAGCCTAGAAGCCTAACCCTAGGCGTCTACGCCTAAAAGCCTAAGCCAAGAAGCCTATGCCAAGAAGTCTAAGCCAAGAAGTCTAAGCCTTGAAGTCTAAGCCTACAAGCCTAAGCATAGAAGCCTAAGCCTAGAAGCCTAAGCCTAGAAGCCTAAGCATAGAAGCCTAAGCCTAGAAGCCTAACAGAATGCTTCCTTAAACCAAAAACAAATTTTCCAAAAACTTAAAACCCTCTGTAGATTAAAAAAACATAAAATCAAAAGTAAAATAAAAAATACTATTAAATTGTTAAATCGACAGAAAATTCTTACCATTACATTTTAGGGCGCAATTTACACAGTCAAAGAGAGGCGGCGTGATCGCATTATGCGAGGGAGCAATATATTATAGTCAAGGCAATTGTTGGCATGTTTGGGAACTGTCACGAAACCTTCGCGAAATACAAATGTAGGAATGGAACGTCAACGAATCCAGCGATTACATGCAGGGCCCATTTTTACGCGCCAGCCGACATGGAAGATGGCAATCAAAGCCCGATAAGGCTTGTGGGAAAGCACGAACATGAACTATACACCACGAATTATTTTGATCTCCTTAGTAACTTGCTTTAGTTAGAGTCTTAAACAAATATAGTAATTTCTTAGGCCTTAATACTTGTTAGCTATTATAGTTAGACTCAGGGACGTCGTTTGGGAGAGAGGGTAGAAGGGGGGGGGGTACCCGCTCTCCCAGAGCCGATCCAAAAAAATTCCACAGGTACCGTACGCAAAAAAAACGAAAAATTTTTTTTTCGGTTTCCCCCTCCCCCAGAGAAAATCCGTAGCGACGTCCCTGTTTAGACTGTCAATCAATTATCTTATGTTTATCACCCAGTATCGTACATTATCTTAAATATATCCTCAAGTATTTTAAATTATCTTATGTGTATACTCAAGTATTGTAAATTATCTTAAATTTCACCTCAAGTATCGTAGATATCAAAGTACAAAAAATCTTTGATTATAGAACCTTTTTTAATGATACTGTTTATTTAAGGCTTTTTTGAATACCTTGCTAGTAATTATTGTATTTACGCCGTACTATTCTATGAAAATTGTATATGGTTCAGTGAATCTATTTACTATATTATTATAATCAATTGTTTAAATAATAAACTGTTGAGATTAAATAATTTAGTTGAATGAAAGTATCACCTTTTACCTTTTTTTTCTTAAAAATATTAATTCCAGCGATCTTACTAACTAAAGTAAATTTTCAAATTTTTACCTAAAAATATAAATTCTTGCCATTTTAATACATAAAATAAGATTTAAAATTTTTTTACTTAAACCTCAATTTCCTACCCTTAAAACCACCTCAAACCCTTACCTTATTCAAGAAATGAGCAGGAGTAGGCACATCCGTTGGATCAGTCCAATCAGTTTTGTCGAACTTTGGCTGGTACAAGTAGTCGCCCAAGATTGTCTTCAAACTTTCCACTAGTTTAATTTGCATATCGTCGCTTAAGTGTACATCGTTAGAAACAATATGGATTTCGTCTTTTCGAATGCCAGTTTTCGTACTGTTTCGAGTACGGTAGCAGCTGTTATATGGGATGGCATGGTTGGGCATCGGCAAACCATGGGTTCTTGATATTCTGAAGGGTCTATGGAGCCCCAGAGGTTCACTAAAAATGCGAAATTGCAATTTTAGTACCATCAGTCTCATTAATAACATTTTTAGCACCAACAGTACCAATATTAGCATTATAGTACCAGCAGTATCATTATACCCAAATATTGTTAAAAGTGTCAATACATAAAATTTTTCGTTTCATAGTACTTAAAATCAATAACATACGTTTTATAAAGTGATACCAATGGAAACATTTTTCAAAAAGTGTACCAAATGTACCAAAATTTAAAAAAATGTTACTCTTGAATTTTTAAACCAAAAATTGACAATTTTTATAAACTGGTACCAGCAGCACATTAAAAATTACCAGTAGTACCATTGTTTCAAAAAGTGTACCAAAAGAACTAAAACTTAAAATCAGTCACAATATACCATGTTATGCACTTAAACACCTACTTTCAATTCCTCTTCAACGCCGTAATGGAGCCATCAACCGAGCACGGTCCTTGAGTTTGATCCTCGACCAAGTAGGTATTATACGAAGCCGCAATATAGTACTCATTAAACAGCCGCGACATATCGCAAAATTGGAAATGCTGTGGATCAAATACTAGGCCAGCTTTGGATAGTAGATAAGACTTAAATCCATACACGGTCATGCACTGCTTCTCACGAGCTTCTGGAGACGGATCGTGAAGTTGGACCAGGTTCTCGCAGAACTTTCGGTCAAATCAATGAATATCATCTGGAATGACAAACACTTATTTACAAAGCAAAAAATGGCGAGAACTTTCTTTACAGCACGAAAAAAAGCAAGAATTTTCTTTAAAAAACACAAAATGGTAAAAACTTTCTTTACAGAACATTAAATGACAAAAACGTAGCTTACAATACAATACATGACAAGAACTGTATTTACAACGTCAATAACATAAACTTTCTTTCCACCTAATCCCTTTTCAGTTATGTACAGCTTTTCAATATAACTAAAAAACCCGACAAAACCAACGATACCGACAAAACCAATGAATCAAACAAAACCAACGAAACACACATTTTGTTACCTAAAAAGATAAATTCCGGTCATTTTACTGCCTAAATTAATTTTAAAAATTTGTTACCTAAAAATATAAATTTCAACATTCTGGCCATTAATTATTTAAAACCAATTTTCAAAATTTTTTAACTTAAAAATTAACATCCTGTTATTTACATCTTTTTAATATACCTAGAAAACCCAACAAAACCAACGAAACCAACAAGCCCAACAAAACACAGTTTGGTACCTAAAAAATAAATTTTTGGCCATTGTACTACCTAAACTAATGCCATTTTAATACCTAAAAGTTATTTTCAAATTTTGTTACCTAAAAATAAAATTTTTGGCCATTGTACTACCTAAACTAAACTTCACAATTTGGTTACCTAAAAATATAAACTCTGGGCATTAATTATCTAAAACCAATTTTTTAAATTTTGTAACCTAAAAATCAACTTCTTGTTATCTTCATCTTCCTAACACACGTAAAAAACCCAACAAAACCAACGAAACACACGTTTTGTTACCTAAAAATATAAATTCATGCCATTCTACTACCTAAAATAAATTTCTCAATTTTGTCACCTAAAAAATTCTGATCACTTTGTTACCTAAAAATATAATTTCCGGCCATTTTACACACTATCTAGAATAAATTTTAAATTTTTTTACCTAAACTTCAACTTGCTCCCCTCAAACCTCCTCAAACCAATTACCTAATTCAATTTTCTTGTTATTTACAGCTTTTTAATATAAGTAAAAAACCCAAAAAAACAACAAAACCAACAAATCCACCAAAACCAATAAATCAAACAAAACCAACGAAACACACATTTTGTTACCTAAAAATATAATTTTTGGGCATTAACCATTTAAGAACAAATTTCAAAATTTTTTACCTAAATATCAAGTGTTATGCACCGCTTTTTAATACACGTAGAAAATTTAACAAAACCGGCGAAATCAACAAACCAAACGAATCCACCAAAAATAACGAGGCCAGCAAACCTAACAAACCAAACAAATCAAACAAAACCAACGAAACCAACAATATGTTATGTGAAAATATAAATCCTGACCGTTTTAATATTTATAAACAATTACAGTGGAACTCCTGAATAACGAACTCCTCTATAACGAAAAACTTTGAATCCCCGTCCACCACTGCACAGTGCATTTAAAACTCCTGTATAACGAAATTCCTTTATAACAAACAAATTTCAAGCCCTCGAGCGATTCGTTATACAGGAATCGCACTGTATCAAAATTTTTAAACAGAAAGATCAACTCCCTGTTATTTACAGCTTTTTTTTATATAAGTAGAACCCCCACGACACTAACGAGGCCAACAAAATCGACGAAACACACACTTTGTTACCTAAAAATATAATTTCTGGACATTTAAACACCTAAAATAAAATTCACAATTTTGTTACCTAAAAATATAATTCCTGCCATTTTAATACCTAAAATAAATTTTTATAATTTGTTACCTAAAAATATATATTTTGGTCACTAATCATTTAAAATCAATTTTCAAAATTTTTCAACCTAAATATCAACTCCTTGATATGTACAGCTTTTTTATATAACTAGAAAACCCAATATAACCAATGAGGCCAACGAAACTAACGAATCAAACAAAACCGACGAAACACACACTTTGTTACCTAAAAATAGAAATTCCGGCCATTTTAATAACTAAAATAAATTTTCAAATTTTGTTATTTAAAAATATAATTTCCGGCCAATAACTATTAAAAACCAACTTTCAACAGTTAAAACCTAAATACAAACTCCCTCTTATAGACAGTTTTTTAACACACACAGAAAACCCGACAAAACCAGCCCAACGAAACCAACGAATCTTCAAAAACTAACGAGGTCAACTAACCTAACAAACTAAACGAATCCAACAAAACCGACAAAACCAAAGCTTTGTTACCTAAAACGATAATTTCCGGCCAATTTACTACCTAAAATAGATTTGTTACCTAAAATTATATATTTAAGCCACTAATCATTTAAAACCAAATTTCAAAATTTTTTACCTAAATATCAACTGTTATGCACAACTTTTTCACGTAAAAAATCCAATAAAACCAACGAATCAAACAAAACCAACGTAACCAACAATATGTTACATGAAAATATAAATTCTGGCAATTTTGTTACCTAAAATGGTAAATTCTGACCATTTTGATACCTAAAACTATAAATTCGGGCCATTTTAATACATAAACTTAATGTTAAAAATTTGGGAGCCATACTAGAGAAAGCACCCAACATAATAAAGGCACCCACTAATGGTTTAAAGCACCCAGCAATCTTTATTCAAATTTTATCATTATGAAACGTAGCGCTTTCGAAGAGCGGTGTAGAAGTGTCCAATTCGTGAATGGCGATTGTTGTAGCGAAAACTGAAAAAAATATAATAAGGTGCACGGCTACTGTAACTAGATAGTTGGCCACTATAACTAGATAGTTTGCTACTGTAACTAGATGGTTGGCTACTGTAACTAAGAAATGGGCTACTATAACTAGATAGTTGGTTACTGTAACTAGATGGTTGGCTACTGTAAATAGATAGTTGGCCACTACAACTAGATAGTTGGCTACTATAACTAGTTAGTTGGCTTTTGGCTACTGTAACTAAAAAATGGGCTACTGTAACTAGATGGTTGGCTACTGTAACTAAATAATGGGCTACTGTAACTAGATAGTTGGCCACTACAACTAGATAGTTGGCCACTATAAATAGATAGTTGGTAGTTGGCTACTGTAACTCAATAATGGGCTGCTACAACTAGATAGTTGGCTACTGTAACTAAATAGTAGGCTACTATAACTAAACAATGGGCTACTATAACTAAGATAACATTAATACTATAGTAAAATCAAACGTATTCTTTAAGTAAATACTAAATTATTACCTGTTTTCCATCTGTATAGCATAGTAAAAGTCTTCATAAACTCGATAGAAGATGACTTCTTTGAAGGTAGTTGATCTTGGCCTAGGTTGTCAGGTAGTCGATGGATCCATGATCACCACGGTCAGATTCCATGCTGACCCGACCGTCTCACGCAGTCGATAAAATATGAATGACCGTTTTCAAAAAAGGAAAAACAACAAAATGAAATTGCAAGATTATGCTAAATTTGAATACTTTTGGGTGCCTTAAATAGGCTAAAAATTGGGTGCTTTCATTAGTAATACTGGGTTATTTCTTTAGAGTGGCGCCAAAATTTGTTACCTAAAAATATAAATTAGGCATTTTGCCCAAAGAAACCAACAGAATACTGCTAAAATGCAATAGTTTAGCAACAGTTGTATTTTTTTCTTGTTATTTATTGTCATTTAGTACTATTGAAGTACAAAATGCGACAAACTAACGATGCCAACAAAACAAACGAAACCAACTTAACAAACCGAAAAAAGTCATGAACTATCGTTACAAAACAAAAAAAAACAAAAGCTTTCTTTACAATAAAATACAAATAACTTTCTATCCACCTACCCCTTGTTCAGTCTCCAAGAACATCTGTAAAACGTCGCAACTGAGGTAATCCTTGTTTGCATATCGCACCATTAAAAAGTAGATTTCAGGTCGTGTACTTATATCTTTGTAGATCTCGATAAACTGCTCCTTGTCAATGTGTCCTCGAGCAGAACTGTCATTTTCCGTTGATGCTATGGCTGATGATTCCTGAAAGTGACAAAATTAAAGAACGAAAAACATGAAAATTTAAATTTTTATGCTTTTTCAAGTGATATCAAAACCAATTTTGCCACAAAAAAAATTTAAAACATGGCTCTTTTCTTCAAACCTTTCTTCACTTTTCAAAACTAAAATAAGATAAAACAAAGCCTAAACTAAATTCAAAACCTTTCAATCTCAAAACTATCCTGTAAGTATCGTACATTTTAGTACGTTAAATAATACCAATAGTATCATTCTTTTCAGAAATTTAAAAAATGTACCAAAACTTAAAAATCATTCAAAAAATACCCCTCATTAAACTTAGAAAGACCTACTTTCTACAAAACGACAATTCCTCTACAACGCCGTAATGTAGTCGTCAACCGAGCACGGTCCTTGGGTTTGATCCTCGACCAAGTAGGTATTATACGACGCCGCGATATACGGCCGCGACATATCGTGACAAACTTGAAAATGCTGTGGATCAAATACTAGGCCAGCTCTAAACAGTAGATAACATGTGAAGCCATCAACGGTCATGCACTGCTTCTCACGAGCTCCTGGAGACGGCTCGTGAAGTTGGATCAAATTCTCGCAGAACTTTCGGTCAAATCAATGAATATCATCTGGAATGACAAACACTTATTTACAAAACATAAAATAGTAAAAACTTTCATTACAGCACATTAAATGACAAAAACTTTGCTTACAATACAATACATGACAAGAACTGTATTTACAACGTCAATAACATAAACTTTCTTTCCGCCCACCCCCTGTTCAGCTATGTACAGCTTTCCAATATAAATAGAAAACCCAACAAAACCAATAAAATCAAACAAAACCGACGAAACAGACACTTTTCGACTTAAAAATAATATTTTCGTCTTCGGACAATTCGGCATTTAGGACAATTCGGGATCGGAGAAAAAAGACAGTTCGGGATCAGCGGATCGGGGACAATTCGGGATCGGTTGATATATATGCTAACATATATGAAAAAACGTTGCCTTATGTTTTGAAAAGTTGTTTTAATTATCAATAATTGTTGCTATGCATGTATAATGTTGTTCCCGCTTCCGAATAGTTGCCAATTTTGCTGCCACTGCCGCAACTTATGTCTTAAGTCTATGTAAACTTCCAAAACATGTATAAAAACAATTTATTGCATCTAATAGTTGCAAAAATACTTCAAAATTATTTAAGTTGCTGCGAAAGTTGCCCATGTTGTTGCCACTGCAGAAAATGTTAGCCCTACCAGAGCATTCCCTTGACCTTTTTGGCCGCATTCCTGACTTTTTTAGCCCCATCCAAGTCTACCCCTGACCTTTTCTGACCTACCCAAGTCCACCCCTGACCTTTCTAGCCCCATCCAAGTCCACCCCTGACCTTTCAAGCCCCATCCAAGTCCACCCCTGAACTTTTCAGCCTTACCCCTGACTTTCTAACCCTACCCAAGTCAACCCCTGACCTTTTCAGCTTTACCCAACTCCACCACTGACCTTTCTAACCCTACCCAAGTCAACCCCTGACCTTTTCAGCCCTACCCAACTCCACCACTGACCTTTTCGGCCCTACCCAAGTCAACTCCTGACCTTTTCAGCCCCACCCAAGTCCACCCTTGAACTTTTCAACCTTACCCCTGACTTTCTAACCCTACCCAAGTCAACCCCTGACCTTTTCCGACCTACCCAAGTCCACCACTGACCTTTCTAACCCTACCAAGTCAACTCCTGACCTTTTCAGCCCTACCCAAGTCCACCCCTGACCTTTCTAGCCCCATCCAAGTCCACCCATAACCTTTCAAGCCCATCCAAGTCAACCCCTGACCTTTTCGGCCCTACCCAACCCTACCACTGACCATTTTCACCACCCTTTGCTACCTACTATATCGTACCCGTCCTAACTGATATAAAATCCCATACCATACCGTACCAAACCTTACCATGCCGTACCATACCGTACCATACCCTAGCCTACCTCCTATGCTATGCTATATTATATCATATTATATATTCTCTATTATTTTCTACCTTATCTACAGTACCATACTCTGTACTACCTACTGTACAATATCCTAGAAAATCCTGTAATACCATATACTATACTACCTACGATGCGATAACCTACCATGCCCTGTACTATTACATATTATACCATACTATACCCTATACTACCTACTTTACTATGCCCTATCATATTATATTATATCCTATTATACAGTATGTTCCCTACTATATTATACCTTGCCTACTTTCTATTCCATGCCATACTCTATCCAACTACCATACTATACTATATCAAACCATACTCTACACTACCTTCTACCTCACTTACCTACTGTACCATAGTATCCCATAACATACCTTATCCTATCTACAAAATTAAACCATATCTTACCCTGTCTAAACTTATATTTACAGCACTACCGTATACTACAATACTTATCCATTGGTAAGAGTTCAGGGCAGGTAAGTAAGTCAAGACATGTGGGTTAGTACAGGCTAATACGGTGTAGTATAGTAAATAAGATAGGTATGATATAGTATAAGGTATGGTAGGGAATGTTAAGAAATGATATATTATGTTATGGTTTAGTATTGCAGAGTAAGTTAGGGTATACTAGGGTAGGGTAACGTAGGGGTGGGTAGAATAGTATAGAGTATAGTAGGGTATGATAGAGTATATAGTATGATATAGCATGGTATGGAATGGCAGATAGTATCGGGTATTGTAATGCAGGGTATGATAGTGTATAGTACGGTAGGTAGAATAGGATATAGCATGGTAGGGTTAGAAAGGTCAGTGGTGGACTTGGGTAGGGCCGAAAAGGTCAGGGGTTGACTTGGGTAGGGCCGAAAAGGTCAGTGGTGGAGTTGGGTAGGGCTGAAAAGGTCAGGAGTTGACTTGGTAGGGTTAGAAAGGTCAGTGGTGGACTTGGGTAGGTCGAAAAAGGTCAGGGGTTGACTTGGGTAGGGTTAGAAAGGTCAGTGGTGGAGTTGGGTAAAGCTGAAAAGGTCAGGGGTGGACTTGGGTGGGGCTGAAAATGTCAGGGATTGACTTGGGTAGGGCCGAAAAGGTCAGTGGTGGAGTTGGGTAGGGCTGAAAAGGTCAGGGGTTGACTTGGGTAGGGTTAGAAAGTCAGGGGTAAGGCTGAAAAGTTCAGGGGTGGACTTGGATGGGGCTTGAAAGGTCAGGGGTGGACTTGGGTGGGGCTGAAAAGGTCAGGGGTTGACTTGGGTAAAGCTGAAAAGGTCAGGGGTTGACTTGGGTAGGGTTAGAAAGTCAGGGGTAAGGCTGAAAAGTTCAGGGGTGGACTTGGATGGGGCTTGAAAGGTCAGGGGTGGACTTGGGTGGGGTTGAAAAGGTCAGGGGTTGACTTGGGTAGGGCCGAAAAGGTCATTGGTGGAGTTGAGTAGGGCTGAAAAGGTCAGGAGTTGACTTGGTAGGGTTAGAAAGGTCAGTGGTGGACTTGGGTAAGTCGAAAAAGGTCAGGGGTTGACTTGGGTAGGGTTAGAAAGTCAGGGGTAAGGCTGAAAAGTTCAGGGGTAGACTTGGATGGGGCTAGAAAGGTCAGGGGTGGACTTGGGTAGGTCAGAAAAGGTCAGGGGTAGACTTGGATGGGGCTAAAAAAGTCAGGAATGCGGCCAAAAAGGTCAAGGGAATGCTCTGGTAGGGCTAACATTTTCTGCAGTGGCAACAACATGGGCAACTTTCGCAGCAACTTAAATAATTTTGAAGTATTTTTGCAACTATTAGATGCAATAAATTGTTTTTATACATGTTTTGGAAGTTTACATAGACTTAAGACATAAGTTGCGGCAGTGGCAGCAACATTGGCAACTATTCGGAAGCGGCAACAACATTATACATGCATAGCAACAATTATTGATAATTAAAACAACTTTTCAAAACATAAGGCAACGTTTTTTCATAAATGTTAGCATATATATCAACCGATCCCGAATTGTCCCCGATCCGCTGATCCCGAATTGGGGGATCTCGAATTGTACCAAATCCCGAATTGTACCATAATCAATATTTTTGGCCATTTTACTACCTAAAGTAAATTTTCAAACTTTCGGCTAAGTGGTTTAGCAACAGTTGTACTTTTTTCTTGTTAATTAGTGTCATTTAGTACTATTAAAATACAAAATGTAACAGAACTAACGATCAGAACAAAAACAACGAACCCAACGAACCCAA